ACATAAAACTTGCACCCGCAAGCTACATGCAAGTGTGAATATATATGTGTATATAACTTATATATAACCGTAGAATTAATAGCTAATTGCTAACAAAAGGTCGGTTGGCTTGGCACCCAACGGCTCAAAATCCACATGTCCTTGCGTTGGTGACCTTGAGGGTGACCTAAAAATGCTCCAAGACAGTCAGCTCCTCTGAGTTCTTGTTACTAGAAGCGATGCACTTGTTCCTATTAGCTTCTTGTTACTACTAGTAAGGCACTTGTTACTAGAAGCGATGCACCTGTTACTACTAGCGATTGTTCATTCTTGGAATGCTTATCTCAGTCTTTGTTTTTCAATTTTGTTGTGACTCTTGTACCATTTTGGGCCATTGAATCTCTTGTTTCTCGTCTCTCCTTGCACAATCATCTGTCCTCCTTACGTCTGTGAACAATTCACCCTTAGAGCAAGACTTAGGAGAACCTTGGGCTTCCTCTCCGCTTCCACCACGGTATCTCCACTTTGGCGCGATCTCCTTGGAGTGTTGAGCGGGTCCCAAGTGTCAACTAGCTGCTTGATGGCTTTGAGGGCCTTAAGGAGGGTCTTGAGGAATCCTATCTTTCACCTTCCTGACAGCTGAGATGCCAACAAAATCTCCAGCATCTTTTCTGTTCAGCAAATCCCAAATCTGGCAGTGGAATGAAAGAGCCGTGGCATGCTGTGGCTGAAGGTTCTGCTGTGGCTATGATTGATACAGTTCACCTTGAGTGCTGTTTTCCTTTCATGCAAGCGAAGCAACGTCTGAAAATTAGGTATCGTCAGTCGTCAGAAGCAAGAAAAGCAGAGCGAAGGTCAACGCAAGAGTGCACAGAGCCAATGTTCCAGAGAGAATCCGGACATCTGAAAGCCATGCAAAGCTTCAGGATTGCCATCGAAACAGCCAGGACAAAGGCAGCTGTGGACCATCTCACATACTCTCGGTAGCGGATGACCCTTGCTTCTGCTGCTCGCCATACAAAGTAATTCTTCAAGTCCCTCCAAGTAACTGGCTCATCTGTTTCATTGATGTGCTCCATGACATGCTCAACTTTTGAAAGTGCTTGCCCGGCATACAAAAGTACCTTCTGAACATGAATCAGCAAGAAGAAAGCACTTGCGATGCTGAGTGAAATCGACACCAGGCGCTGGAAATCCACTTCTTTGTTCTTGCTAGTGACCCGAAACATTCCATACACTGAAATCTGAACATGAATTTGCAGAGCGGTATTGAAAAGCCCGAGAGTAATCACCTTCAGGAAGCATCGAGTCAATGCATTTCTTGTGTAGATTTCCAGCGGCTCGTGCATTTGACGTAATGCCCTTCTGGACTGCTCGACGAGCTTGCCATCTCCGCCCGGTGAATGGACAGAATGGTGGTGGATGCCCTCTTGAAGTGAAGCCATGAGACCTTCCAAAATATGAAAGGTTTTTTCTCTTGGGTATGAGGGACTTTGTTCATCTATGAGATACATTCCCATGCCGCTGCCAAGCAGCATCACCGAGTCACCTTGAGTGAAGCGGCCGCCCAGAAAATTTGTATACTCACCCGTATTGTCTGTGTCTAATGAGTAGTCAATTTCCCAGGGCCATTGATCCTCCGGTATTGACTCCAGCAATGCATGGATGATAGGGGAGAAGGATAAGAGCCAACAAATCAATACCTGACCAGACAGTGGTATCTCACGCATCCAAAAAGCAAAGGTTGACTGTCGCAAAGTAATCTGCCAAATCTCGTTGAAGCTTGTCTCTCGCTCGTATCCATACTCACCCGAGTAGGTAACGGTACACCGAGCCGTTGCGAAAGTCCTTGCAGCAAACACTGCGTTGGAAAATACTGCACCCTGGAACGCCAAGGATTTGCATGTGCTGATAAGGAACCACAAGTGGAACCCCAAGTGTACCGCCAGCATCTGGAATCGTCCGACTACCTGAAAGTATGGAATAGTCGTGTAGCGAAAGATTCGAACCTCAATGATGAAATGGCACAGAACAAAAGGTGCTGCACAAAGCCAAATCCAAAGCGGGACTGGAGAGTCCATCCCATGTTCACATGAGGAGTTCATGTAGGCAAGGACGAAGATTGTTGTTGGTCCAAGAACAGACATCAAGGCTGTTGAATAAAGCAACTTGGTGGCTGGCGGAGCAATTTCACGGTATTTCAGCTGTCGAGCTTTTTGATTTGCCTTAGCCTCAACATCTGGATGAATGAAGCAGCTTGGTGGTGGGCGCCCCCTCTGTCTTCGCTGGACGTGGTTCAGCCAACTCGTGGAGTCGTCTGAGCTGCTGGAATAGAAGCAGTCAGTGCTTTCCTCACAAGCATCACAAGCCCAGTTCAAAACAGGGTCCAATGAGCTCGCACGAGTGACTGAGCGCATGCTTCACTAAAGCTCTAATCAGCTCGAGAACTGCCGATCAAACTACATACAAAATAGACAAGTATATTGCACAATTTATATCTATCTATGCTTTCTGTGCATAATTAAATCTTTGAGATCATGTGCAGGGACGTATTTGTTCCCTAGGCATGCTGTTGTGCTGTGCACGATTGCAACACGCTTGGCTACTCCCCATTCGCAACTTCAATTCAAGAGCCAATGATGCGCAATTTGGCAAAACATAGACAAACCGGAAGTCAGACTGCTCCAATTAAACTAAGAACAGCTTTGGCTTGTGAAGTTGCAGGAAAGGTTGCTGCATGTTGCGTGCGGAATTGAACCCAATGGAACGTGCAAAAAGCACATATAACACAAATAATAAACCTTCTATATACTAGGAGCAAGGACGCTACTAGGGGCTCCTGGCCTTACTACTAGGAGCAAGGACGCTACAGGGGCTCCTTGCATCGCTACTAGTAACAAGAAGCTACTAGGGGCTCTTCTCTCTGCGTTTAAAATAAAATGATGTCGGGCGGGAGTGGCGCACCAGGTGCATCTTGCGATGCATCTCATGCTCTTCTGCACGAGTCAATGGAAGCTCGTTCTTGGCTCGTTGAAGGCGAGACTTATCTGAAACCTTAGGCCGACCACTGAGCACATGCAGCATTCCACAAAAGAAAAGCGACCTTGACTGGTGGACCTTCACTGGTGAGGTAAAGTGACTCTCTCTCTCTCTCTCGCTCTCTATGTGAGGAAGTGGCCCACTCCAGTTGCATGTAGACATTTTTCACTCGGCGGAAACCACTCCATTGCGGATCAAACCTAGAGTCAGAATAGGTTCCCTTTTTTGCAGAATGAAGATTGCTAATCCAACAAACAGCTCTGTCACTGAAATTTGATAATGACCTGAGGTTAGCTCCAGTTTCGTGACAGGAGGCATTCTTCCCTGAGCAAAAAGATCAATAAGGTTGTCAGGACGTCAAGCTCGACATCAGATCCAGTCTCAACTTACAATAGCTGAGGCTTCGCACGGGAGAGATTTCAACGGTTGCCTTTTCCACAAGCAAAAGTCCCTTGCCTGCAAGTCATTCCCGTAAATAAAGAATCGAATGTCCAAAATCCGTCCTCGTAGAATTGCGTTGGCAGTGTTTCCTCCTCTGGCACAGCAAGGGTATCAGCCTCAGAAGAACGGAATACAGAATGCACAGACTGGGGTGCTGCTGTAGGACTTGGAGGGCACACTTGTAGAGAACTGACATATGCGTGTTAAGTGCACTACATCCCATGGCACAGGCTCCTCATGGTCTCTGCAATGCCTGATTGTACATTATTCTGCACAAGAATAGATGCAAAGAACATGCGAAATGTACATACACTCAATGCAAAAAACTGTCACTGTGCAAAATCAGGTCTGACTACAAACAAGGGCGCGCACATTAAGTCAACAAATTTCTCAATCTGAATTTCTTGCTCCCGCTGGTTCTCTTCTTCGACCTCATTTGCAAGAGTGAGGGCTAGGCACCTCAAATCCAGAAAACGTGCCACAACCAAACAGAACTCAAAAAGAACTCTAATGCACAAGTAAAAACCACCCAGATGATGGGATGGCCATGATCTACTACTTTGCCGGAAAAATCAGGGAATCTTTGGTTGCTGAGTTTCTCCATGACTTATCCTTAAACACCCTTAATCAAATTTACAATTTATAGTGGTGACAATAGTTCAGTTCAAAGGGCTCGGTCTCACACACTGCATAAGTGTGAAACAGGAAAAGGATAGAAAAGGAAGATCGTAGCTTGGGGTAAACCGATCAGCTCCTCAGTCCGCTTTGAAGGTCAGGCAACCCTGTTTTTTGCTGACCACCCCCCTGCCTACTTAATTAGTAGTCTTAATTATGTAAGTAGGCGTCTACTCAATTCAGGGAGTAAGCTAGGCTAAGTTAGCTTCTACAATATGGGCACAGGATAGCTCACGCTTCTTCAAGGAAGCTTCCCCCGGCTGAGGGCGGGGGGAGCTTCCTTGAAGAAGCGCTCGCACTAATGATTTGGTTCCTAGATGTTTAGGGAAACTGTACACTTGGAGCAGTTGTGACTTCAAGTTGACTGAAGTCATTGATCACATGCCTGCCAAATAGTTATATATTGCAATTCAAGCTTGATCAGCCTGTAAAGCTAAATTGAGATGTAACTGCAACCATGTCATCTTCAAAACGGCTACAGGTGAATGATCGGTCTCCACCCTTCTGTGCTTCGTTGCGTCAGGTGCGTGTATCAACCCTGATCCTCCTGCTAAGCGCAACTAAATTGGCAAACGCGTTCATGGTCAAGGAGACAAATCGTGGTAAAAGCCGAAAAAAAAAACAGTAGGACTCTGCAGCCTGCTACACACACCCACTTACACTCTCTCTCTCCCTCCCTTCCTCCCTTCCCATCTCGGCCTTTCCACTCGATTTTGTTGTTGCAAGTGAAATTGATTGACATTGATCTAGAATTTTCCGAAGCAGCCCACAATTTGAGGAACTGTTCAATTCTTCACACCTGTTGAATGTATGCTGGTGCGTTCTGTGGATTCCTCCTGCTAGTATCCTGCAAGCCATCCCCTTTTGTGGCGGTATGTGCTCAGTCCCTGCAAAAGCATCAGCTTTGGATCGCGCAATCAGTTGGCACCACGCGCAAAATGGAGCACTGGGCATCACGCCTCTTGCTGCCTCTCTTGTTCCTGTTCCCGCTGCTGCTCAGTTTCCAAGCCGCGCCTCAGTTCCACCCAGAATGTCACGAGGACATGTTCTGGCACCAATGAATCATCACCAATCTTCTTCTTGCAGCGAAAGCAGTTATATACATGTATATATTATGTATAATTATATTGTATATATACATCTACATAATCATGCATATAACATGCCTTTGACTTTGACGCAGCTTCAGCTTTTCACCATTGCAGCATCGTCCAATATCGTTAAATGGCTTAGGAACCAGGCTCTCCTTCAGTTTCTTGAGTTTCGCCACCGGCCTCACTCAAGAGACATACACTCTTGCACGTTCATAAGCATGAGAACTCACCTTACCACCTGTTTTCATGGTGTTTCAATGCAGGTTCAGTTCTCTTACAGTAAGCGCGTGCTTTCCTTGATACCGTTGACATCCGTTGACATCAGCTGACAATGAATGCAGAATAATGATGGTCAAAGCTGAGCGGACTATTGATAGTATGGTCTCCTTTGGAAGTGGGGATAGTGAGCGTGAACAATGAACCACAGCAAGCTCAAAAGACCTAAAGTTAATCAGCGGCCTCAGCAAGCCGCAGCATGTTTCCACGGATCTCTTCCAGTTCTGGCCTTTTGGAATTGGGAAGAAGAGTTTCTTCGGGCAAGCTGGGGCGGTCAAACAAAGAGTCGTTCCAGGTAAGTCGAAGGGCTCGGGTTCTTCGAAACATCTCCCGAACTGCGGGAGAAGCTTCCTTCAAGAACCCTTCCGATACTCTAATTAAATTCTAATTCTATGTATTTCTTGTTTCTAATAGCAAACATTGTTCCTAGTAGTAAGGCCAGGAGCCCCTAGTAGCTTCTTGCTCCTAGTAGTACGGCCAGGAGCCCCTAGTAGCGTCTTCTTTTTCCGATACTTTGTTCCGATAAAGTGTTCATATCTTGTGCAGTGCAGTTTTGCAGAAAATCTTCAGAGTCTCCTGTCGTCATCTCGAACGAAGCGTTCAGCATCAGCAATCCTGTTCGGCTAGCATCTGCTCGTTGTGCACATGTTCCAAAGGGCCGCACAAACATTGACTCGGCGCAGCGTTTGGTTTGGCGTGTAAACCTTGAGTGTTCAATGCAAAAGAGGGTGCAAGCAAGCAAAAGCGAAAATCCTTCGCTCAGCTGCAGCACCGATGGTATCCATGTGCCTCGGCACCAGCGTACCATGCCACCACGAAGCCAGCCGCCACACAAGAGAGGCTTCTACACAGGAAAAACATCAGCGAGAATCTTCAAGTTTTATTCACATTATAATATCACATCATCACATGAGATCACAACCCTTCACATCATGTCTCTATGTTGAGGTTCTGACGGAACTTTCGAGGGCACCTGCTAAAACATGTTGAACAACACTGGTGACAGGTGATTATTAATCTATTATATACCATGGTTGAATCTTGAGCTGGACATACAGTATTTCTTCAGGACCTCTGCGCACTTGAAGAGCCGGTCACGCCTTGAAGTCAATGGGCTCTTTGTAGACTTGAACCCTTGCAAGCGTATCTGGCTTCATTCCAGCCATTGCCTTGAGAAGCAGTCAATAGAAGCAACAATGCAACAACCTTCGTTCTGTTCCGTTATCATGCAAGAAGCCGAGAAGCTATGATGATTGTCTTCGATCAGAAACAGCACAATGACCAGCTTTTCCCCACTGCTAGAAAAAAGCCAAATTGTTGCAGGCTATGTCAGTCTTCACGCCTCATAGTCTTCCATGACCACGGCCAAAGAGCTCCTAACTGGCATGTTGCTAAACTATGCTAAACTGTACTGGAAATAATCAAGGTATAAAAAGAATGCCGGATGCACAAAAAACGGAGTAAATATGAAGTGGGTGGAGGAACAAATCGGCATTGTTGATTTGCTAAAGGTCTAGTTGGTTGTTGCTGCAGTGTTCCGACTCAGCAAGCAGCATATTCAGCAAAAGAACTGAATCCGACAAATGCTATGCTACCAAGAAGATGACACGCTAGCTATGCAGAGGCAACCATTGAAGGTGTACATTCGGCTGCAAAGACAACAAGTTTGTCAAGACAAGGCTCGAATGCGACAAGTAGTGGCTAGGTTAGACTTTTAAAACAAAATGATCCTGTTGTGAAAGTGATGTCTGCAACAAAAAGGTGAGGGAGGAAAGGTGACTTTCGTTGCGCGTCAAAAACTGAGCTGTGATGGCACCAAAATGTTTCCATTGCCCATTATAAGAAAAAAATACTTTGCTGGCAACCTCACTGACTTCATGCAACATACAACAAACTAGTTATATATATATATATACAGTAATGATCACATGCACAAATCCTTTCAAGAAATACAGACATGTTGTTCATGTTGTTCCCGTTTTCAGCCACTCAAGAGGCCCTTCCCACAGATTCCGCTAAACTGCTGACGCGAGAGAACAATCACTTGAACAAAATCAAACAGCTTGGCACACGGTACCCGCAACACATCAAGCTTTGAAGTTTAAAGGCCTCCAAAACAAATGAGCACATCATGCAGCAATTTTGGTCCTTCTCCAAATGTTTGCCAAATTTTGCAGCTGTAGCATGGCATATTGCACTTTCTCTGTTCTCATGGACCTTGGTTTCAACATGCAAAATATTGTGTGGGAAAGAGGTTCGAGTCCACGAGGGTGCACTGAGGACGGATCTGGCACAGCAACCAACAGGCCACGGCATCAAGAACGCCCTGGAAGCAGGAAGTTTGTTCAGTTAGGAGTGCAAATGAGTGCAACATGCAACTCATCTGGCTTGACCAAAATGCCTTGTGACGATCGCCAAGTGTGGAAAAGCGTGGCCTTGTTGGAGCAAACGGCACCCATCAAGCGTTTTATTCGTTTTTTACACTGTCAGCTAGGCCCTGCAATCTTGCCACAGCTGAGCCCCATGCAGTTGTGGCAGGTGAGCAAGTCCCAAATCACGAGAGATCAGTTCTTCGATCCTCGAGTTGATGCAGGGATTGGCACCCCCCGAGCCTAACAGTGTCACATATGGTGCGAAGTTGAAAATTCGGGATACGTCTTGCTAGTCTAGTCAGCTAGTTTCTTTGTTATGCACTTTGTGTACAGTATTCCTATCAATATGTGGCAACCATATGGCGGCAACAATAACACCAATCTCACCTGCAGTTATATGGAATTGACAAACAACATCTTAATTATATATATGCTTTGAATCACAGGCAATGATCTTGGGAGCCATCTCCTTGCAAAAGGGTCTTCAAAAAGAGACAAGCTTCCATACCATTCGTCATTGAAGACTTGTGAGCCCATTCCCGGCTCACATGTGGTTTTGTATGTTCTGTATCCACCGGTGAAAATGGTTTGCCATTGATGAAAGCAAAAGGGCTGAGGCAGAAACTCCGGAATGATATATAGGCAAATGCTCTGGCCACGGCCAATTCCACGCATCCTGCTGCTCAAAAAGCAGCTACCATGCATCAAGGTCATCAAACAAATTTCAGCATGCTTGAGCTATAATATATATATATATATATGTGTTTTTTTTGACTTCTCTCAGAGACGGCAAAAATCTGCAGGACCTGTATGCGCCCTGAGCAAAGTCACCTCAGGTTGGATCATCATGCACCTATGGTGTATTGCAAGGTCTGAGCCGCAAGCGCCACACCATGTCTTTGCCTCAGGGCTCGCTGACCCTCTCTACACGTGACAGCTTTGACCCTGGAAAGTGTGCTTGCAGGACTTGCTTGGCTTCCCACCCAGAGTCAGGGCTGCGACAGCATCCAAACGATGCTGTATGTCCATTCCTCTCAGGCTTAGAAAAGCAGCCACTGGCCAAACTGAGTGGTGGTCGGTGTCTATGTCACTTGCGATTCCAGGAATAGTCAAAACAGGATGGGGCAGCCAAACTTTATATTGCAAACAACGACCGACAGAAGATAAGGTCTCCAACTCGCTCAGTGTCGGTGGAAAGAAAAAAGAAGATAAGGCCCCTGCAAAGGAGGCTTTTGGAAGGGGGCCTTATTTTCCTTTTGGATCTTTCTTTCATAGACTATCGATCACCAAAGGGGACAAGACTACGCAGCCACCAGCCACATTGACAGAACAGGGTCTCCAACATCCAAGTTGTCGAAGAACCATCCAAGCACATTCAGCAGGAACAACACACATAGGACATCATAGGACATGATCCAAAACCACACCCTGCAATACTTGATCCAAACAGGCGGAAGCGAACTGATACTGTAGTGGTGAAATGTCTCCCAACCAACTCCCAAAGACGGACCAACAGTATCCACCAAACATGCATTCACTGGTTGATTCGGGCAAACTGTAAAATCAACCAAAAACTTGACTCCCACACAGAATTCAATTCAACCAGCTTGGTATCTTCTGGTTAGGTGCAAGCTAAGCTCAACAAGTCACCTCAGGAAGTCAGTTTCCCGTGCATAGAAATAGAGTCATCACAAGGTGTTTTCTGGTCAAGCATCCCCACCATGTGTTTTTCTTTTTTGGCCCTTGGGCTTGTTGATCATTGGTGTTAAATGTGAAAATCTTATATGCAAAGCCTGCTAAGCATAATGAAAAACGTCATCCACTGTTTTGCAAAGTGCAGAAAGACGCTAACATACCAAAAGCAAGTTGACAAAAAGACTGAAAAAAATAATTATCCACCATTCATAAGGAATTTTTAAAGCCTGGGGGGGTAGGCCGCTAGGAGGTCGCTAGGGGTAGCTAGTAGCTTACTTAAGCTACTAACCACAGGACGCAGGATAGCTCGCACTAATGATTTGGTTCCTAGACTTTTTAGGGAAACTTAGCTAGTAGGCACAGGGGTGATTGCAATGGGCCTGCAAGGCAGCCTGCTCTTTACTGTGACTGTGTATGTACACTAGTGAGCCGCGCTTAACATTCAAAAGATGTGGTCCTGTGGTGTGAATCTGATCGTAGAAGCAGAATCTGGCGGAGATCGGCACCCCGCTGTCCTTAGTCCAAAATCAAAGTCCGACAGTGGTCTGTTGGACTTCTGGTGCCCCCGTTCTGTCGATCCGTTGGGCTTCCAGCTGCGAGTTTACCCACTTCTCGGGACTGGCGATTCCTTGATGGCGTCACATGGACATTCTTGATCTTGTCTTCCAAATCTAGTGTATACTATATACCTTGGGTCTATCCCGTTACCAGCAGCAGTGGATCATGATGGTTAGTAAAGGCCTTTCTCAAAAATAGTGACAATTGTTTGCTGACTGTTACAGGTAATAGGACAGACCCAATGTATACCAATCTGCCATGTTTTTCTCAAGTAGTTGACTGTTGACCAACATCAACAAATGACAAATTGAGGAATGGGCAAAATACGCTTGGCACCATCTTCTTCTATGAACACCACACCCTCGATCCAGTCAGGGAGTGTTAGTGGCATTGTGCCATCAGCACCTGATGGTGGGTTGCTGTTGTTTCAAAATTGAATTTGAAAGCAATTGAAACAAATATTATGCGGGCCATTCAGATGTGAATCTAATGCAATTCAATACGACCTCCTTAGCCTTAGCGGCTTTGTTTTTGGGCGGCTTTGGAGAAGGCACGCTTCTTCAGGCCGAGGAGGTGCTCTGCCACCTCTTTGTTGGTCAAGCCTGTCACCAGAGCCTTGTTGGGAAGCGGAGGCATTGCAGCATGCTGGCCGCCACCAGTCTCTGATATAGAAATGTAGAAAGTGGGCAGTTAGAGTAAGTAGAGCAGCGCAATTGCCTTGCATGAATTTGATTGTTTTTCACAGGGTCTTTCTACTTCAGGTTCAAGACCTGTGGCCAAGACCTCTGCTTTCCTCAGCTTCTGACACCTGTGTCTATGAGCGCTTGGCATTCCCCTCGACAAGCTGCTTCCGCAACAGCATCCAAAAGCGCCTCCAGTCTCTATGCCCGTGAGCACTCCGAAACACGTTCAAAAGTCGGAACAAGGATATGTGATATATTATGATAGTCACACACCCTGATCAATTCTATATATAATAGTTGCTGACAAGCCGATGAATTTCACCGTCCATCTCCTCACTTGCCTCCACAGTCCAGTCAGAGCTCAATGTCTTAAAGGACACAATGGAGGGCGAAGTGAGGGTGCTTACCACCTCCGCAGGGATGCAACAAAGGGACTCAAACCCGTGGCATCCTTGAGGGGACACCAAGAAAAAATATACAGTGCCAGCTTAGACCCCAAACAGTTTCAGCAAGCTTTGTTTGGCGTCAATGCCATTGAATTCCAATGTTGGAGAAATCGGAGGACGATATCGAACTTGAAAAGCTGCATCACTGTTGCATTCATAGCCACAAGAAAACCCACCCGGGCAAGGCGGTGGAGAACAGGAAAACTGCGCGGCCAAGCAGGGGACAAGGCCCAGACAAGGCATAAAAAGGGCCAACAATGATGACACAGACCCAGACAAGGCCTGAAGCAAGACACGAAGGCCTGAACAAAGCCTGGACAAAGGTGCCAAAAAGGTGGAGAAGACAGGGCCCCCGGCGCGGCCAAGCAGGACCTGGACAAGGCCCTTTCTTTGAACTTTATTCCTGAAGGAGGACAAAAGGAGGACGCAGCGTTCGCCAGCGGGCCCAGGTTTTCAGGGGCACGGCCAGTGTCTTTTTTCCCTAAGGGGAAAATTTGGAAGGGAGCAAAGGATCGCCAAACCCAAGGCGGCTCAAACACATGCGGGATAACAAAACGTGAGGGCGGGGGAGTGTGTGCATGTTAGTGTGGTGAAGAGTGATGAAAAATGATGATAAGGTGATGCGCGGAGGTGAGGTGATCTGACCCGACCCATGGTGAGCTGAGCTGAGATCGAATGAACTGAGCCGACATAAAGCATGGGTAAATATAAGATGGTGACAAATGCAAGCCCTATCAAAGGAAATGAGGGACAGCCAGGACAGCTTTTTTGCTCGGCTGTGGTTCGGCCACGTTTCTGTTGCAGAACCTATGCAAGGTCTATGGTGCTCGGCCACGCATGAAAATGAAACCCTACTGTTGAATGAATAGCACCATGTTACCTTTAGATGTTTGGTGTAGGAATGAGCCATGTGTGATTTTAGCGAGTTATTTTGCTATATAATTGTATTGTTGGATAATTTTAGATACTGTAATTAGCTGTAGCTGTATTAACTGGTAAAAATCTGGTAGAAGCTGGCCTGTACTTTTGATCTAAAAGCCGCTGCTACTGCAAGCAGCTCAACTCCACATGGAATCTTATGGAATCTTCACAGACATGTGCAAACATCGCACATGCACAGGTGTCACAACTGTGTTGAAGGTACGGGTATGAAGCCTCTGCAGTGCTCCACCGGCACTCTACGGTGGCCCACAAAGGTAAAGGATGGTAAAGGCTACTTTTACTAGACCAGCTTTTGTTAGTGTACAAGCGGTGAATGGGCGTCACTCTACCACATGACTACCGTTACTATAGCACCCATTCAGCTGGACTACAGTAGCTCTGTTGCAACCAAACGGCCTGCTGGCGCGTGAGAAACATCAAGTCCTACTGCTCAAGGGCAAGCAACAAACTCAAGAGCAAAAGCTATAGTACGAGTTGGCTGCCTTTTAAAGCATGCTCATCTCTATAGCCTTTCCACAACTTGTTCTCTGGCACCAACCCCCCGACCTACACTAATGTACACCCAGCACTGCCACAAGAAAGCTGACGACAGACGACTCATCACTCTGTAGCCCAAACGCGCGAGCAAGAATCGGCAATGTTCCTGCGTCAAGAAAACTATTGACGCACAGAGTCCTGTACAGCTTTGTGCACACATATCCTGCTCTTTAACATGGGGACCGACCACAAAAGCGAGAAAGGCAAACTAGAGTTGGAGGCCATCGCTCTCAGGTTGTGAATTGTTCTGAATGTCCGAACTTTGGAACACTTGGTAAAATATTCCCACAACTGCTGGCTGGACCCGTAGTGGCTCGGTGGCCAAGGCAGGTGGCTCGCCATGTGGCCGATTGCCAAAATGAGTTGAGTTAACAGAAGGGATGTAGGGTAGAAGAACGAAAGGCATAATGGCGAGTTGATGCAGTAACGCAGTAGGTGCATGAGTGAGTTGAGATGATGCAAAACGAGCAAAATGAGCTTACTGTAGCTGATTATCAAGGGATACGACCTCGGCCACCCCTGGGAATCTTGCTAATGCGGTTCAACTTGAGATAGCTCGTGGAGTGGCTGGTACTATCCAATACTGCACCGCAAACACCGACACGATCAGAGGCACCACCAAACACTCAGAACATCCTATATACAATACAAACATATACAAACAATGGAGAGACCAGAGAACTTGCCTTTGCAGCAATTCACACCAATCCCTTTCAAGCTGGAAACATGTTTTTTAAATCCGGCATGACAGTGGGGAACACCATGTTGCTGCAGTAGGTTATTGCTCTTTGCAAATACTTAAGTAGAAGCTGATGTTCCTGCTAAATCCGGGAACCGTTCCTACAAACACGTTACATCGAGTCGCTGCAACTGCAACTGCACAGAGAAGGCCCCTTGGCCTCACCCTCGCTGCCAGGTTCGTACTCACACTGTCCGAGCTCTCGTGGCATCAGTTCGCTGGGAGTGCCGGAAAAGCCAAGTCTGCCAGAAGAGTTGGATGAGCAAGTGGCATCTTCGAACAGTTTTTTTTTGAAAATAGTTCTTGCAATTTCAAACCTGCTGATCTTCAAGCATCGCTCTTTACGAGCATTGATAGGTTTATATCGACATACAATTTTATACATGTATAAATATAGAGACAAATATGGCAAGAGCACATCTCCTTACTGACGTGCGCGCGCGCAGTTGTGTGCAGGCACGCAGTCGTTTGACTTACATTTGAAGGCCGATTCTAGTTACACAGCACGGGGTTCGAAAACGAAGACCCATCTATGTCGTCGTGCAAACGCGCCTGCGTTGATCACTCCTGGGTCTGCAAGCGACAACTGGAGGATCTCACTAGAAAAATTCGGCCAGCCATCCAATCGTTTGCATTCCGCAGTCACGCATTGCCTCTTGGAGCATGGACCTTTAGAACTAGGAATCCAGACTCTTAGGATGATTGGACCTCGCTGCATGCCTACTTCGGCTCCCATTGTGCAAGGTTTCTTCAGGGCATGTGGCATTCCGACCGTACATACTTCTATCTTGAGTGTGTGTGTGTGTGCGTGTCCACACCTGTGCCTAAGGTTTTGAGCCACAAAGGAAGCTACTAGGGGCTCCTGGTTTCGCTACTAAGGGCTCCTGGTATCACTATTAACGTGCAGTTTTTTCAAAACAAAACACCGCGCGGAAAAAGAGGCAGGGGGGCAATGAACACTTTGGAAGGCATTGCACAACGAAGACCCTTCCATCGTGTTGTGATATTCCTGAGGGACGCCTCGGGAACGTACCTGCATCTCTCAATTTTTAAGCTGTCCACTGCCGAGTCGCAACTGTTGTGAGCAAAAACTGTTCAAACATTTTCAAGTCTCCCGACTTTTCACCTTTCCGTTCTGCATTTTTCGGTTCCGTCGAGTCAAGGGCTAATGCGTGTACAGTGGGACTTCATACTGATCCTAGCTCTTGCGAGCAACCACCTAAGTGTGTATCGCCACAGAGTCCCACTGAGGGCTGTGGTGTGATCCCCGTCAAGGGGCGCTGCATGTGCACAGACCCAGATCCTGGGGGACTCACCTTGAATGTTCCGTTTGCACTCCTGGACTTCTCTTGATTCCCCTTGATCCGCGGCGCTGCATGATACCACTGATACTATGCCGCAGGGCTTACTGTGATCAACTCCAGTTTGGAGTGCTTGCACATGGCTAAGTATTCACATGTCCATGTCACGCTGCCAAGTATTCATAGGCCGGACGAGAGCGCGAAACGAGAGAGTGGGTTTTCTTGGTCCGTTTGGTTTTTTCTTTCTTGCTGTTGCTTTTCTTTTTCTGGAGGCCTTTCTTTAGGTTTCTTTAGGTTTCAGACGCTTGTCAACAATGGGTCCGCCGTCCCCATAATCGGCTTGACACGTCAATGATGACAGCCCTTGGACCACCCCTCCCTGCGCCAGGCCTCCGTTGCTATCCCACCCGCTATCTAGGGTTACAGAAGGAAGTCGCACTCAACACACTCGTGTGTTGGTGCCTTTCCTTCTATTTCTCCTGTCCTACCTCTAGCTACCCGGGCAGTATAGGACCAAAGTCCCGCTCGCTAACTACTTTCGTTTAACTGAGTGGGCCTCGTAACTACACCTATCTTTCTTTCTTGCCCTCTTAGCTTGCTTTTGTTTTGTTTGCTTTGTCTGTCTTTCTAAGGCTTTTTAGGTGGCTAGTAATTTTCCGCAGCGCCAATATTGGCGCTATGTGTGCAAAGAGCGCACCGATTACGGTGATGTAGGTTTTTCCCTCTGGCCGTTCTCTGGCCGTTCTACGGGGAGTAAGGACACTACTAGGGGCTCCTGGCCTCGCCACTAGTTTGCAAGCAGGGGAGAGCGCGCCGAGTACGGCTTTGTGTGTGTGTCCACACCTGTGCGTAAGGTTTTGAGCCACAAATTAAGCTACTAGGGGCCCCTGGTTTCGCTACTAAGGGCTCCTGGTATCACTATTAGCGTGCAGTTTTTTCAAATCAAAACACAGCGCGGAAAAAGAGGCAGGGGGCAATGAACACTTTGGAAGGCATTGCCCAACGAAGACCCTTCCATCGTGTTGTGATATTCCTGAGGGACGCCTCGGGAACGTACCTGCATCTCTCAATTTTTAAGCTGTCCACTGCCGAGTCGCAACTGTTGTGAGCAAAAACTGTTCAAACATTTTCAAGTCTCCCGACTTTTCACCTTTCCGTTCTGCATTTTTTGGTTCGATCGAGTCAAGGGCTAATGCGTGTACAGTGGGACTTCATACTGATCCTAGCTCTTGCGAGCAACCATCTAAGTGTGTCTCGACCTGGAGCTGCGGGTATACAATTGCATATAATTGAGTGACATGAACTGGGCAAGCCGGTACACCTTTTACTTATGTGGTTTTCCAACGAATCTTAGCAGGGGGTGCAAGCAACCAATCCAGTCTTGCACCAACAAAAACTTTTTTGTGGGTTGGTGCACAAATCTGCGACGCTGGATCCACCTTCCAGTTCTGCTTGTTGCACTGAGAAATCATGATTGCATCATGTCCTAGAGGCTGTTATACAGTGGGCTCAGGTTGAAAAACATACTTGGTTTTTGCACCTGGATGTAGAACTCTGGGCTTCAGAGTGTGGGAACTTAGAAATGAGTCTGACTTGGATCTTGAATTTGGTGTTTCCTCGGACGGCCTCTGACTTCCTTTTTCCGAATTGACTCTTCCACAGTGTGTCTGTATGTGCGCATGACCAGGGAGGGCATCTGAAAAGCCTTGCAAAGTTTGCGGTAGTGGCAGAGGGGGCTGGACATGAGGGATGGGTCTGATCACCGCTCTATAATCTGTACCTGTAAAATACAATTTAATGAGCCTAAACAGGGCAATCAATTATCACTCGGCGCATGTTGTATATCCAAATCAGAGGCCCCTGGATCGCGGGACTTGCACGCATGCTTGATTCTGCCAATGTGGGGGCTACACCCGCAGAGTGATTAAGCTGGTATACGGTATAAGCTTGTTGCAGGCTTTCTGCTGTGGTCGTTCTTGGGCTTCCAGTGGCTTGAATAGAGCTTAATGCATGTTCGGTGGGACCATTTGACCACGTTTACACAGCGAGCATTGGGCATTGACAGTCTAGCATGACTGACTTCAGTTCTGAACGGATTATGTCCGCTATACCGCTATGGATGTCTTTGAGATACTATGTCACACCCTATGTTGCTATGGTGTCAATCTCAACATTCACGTGCTTCAATGAGTGGCCTTTGCTTGAACAGGATCGAACCACCCATTTCTTGACCAGAGGCAGAGAACCTTGGCCAGACTACATGGCAAACAAACCTCAGTGAAACGATGTAACTTTAGAAGCTGGCTTCTGCTCTTGAAAGCGCATGAAATTGGGGAAAATGTTGGTCTCCAGGTAGAAGTGGATGGCAGAGGGCAGCCTCTGTACAAAGTGCTGCATGTGCAAAGGAAATAAGCAAACTCCCGGACTCCAGGGCCTCCGAAACAGCTCGAAAAGGCGCTGCATCCTCAAGTGGCAGTCTTCAAGTCCGCAAGTGTGAACTTTACCACTTTAAATCTTTCTCATCGTTCTCTTGCTCGGTTCAAGTTAAAGTCGGAAGAAATGCTGAGACGGAAATACGGCCAACTGCTTCCAAGCGTCTGTGGAGCATTTGTTTTCTCCAGCAAGTGAAGGGGAAGGACCTCAAGAATCTGGCTTCTCTTTTGGGGCAAATATAAAGTGCAGAAGAAGCTGCATGCTGTAAATTTAACAACCACACCTGAGAAAACGCCAATCGAAAGCAAGCGTTTTTACTTTCGAGTGTGCTTTCTCAGGCCACCCCCCCGAACCCCCCTTCTTACTCAGCTGGCGCCTTGCCAGGTATAGATACCCAGGGTAACTACAATTCAGTTGCCAGGTATAGTACTTCAAGTTCCCTTTCCGTCAACCGCTCGATAACCTTTACACATGCACAGCAAACCACAGCTTTGAAGTCTCATTCGTGCTTTGAACTTATATAGGTGTGTAAGAGGTATAGCAACATAGCATTTTTACAGACCCAGGGTAGCTACAATTCTGTTCCCAGGTATCGCGCGCATGAGACTTCAAAGCTGCGGACTGCTGTGCGTGTGTAAAGGTTATCGAGCGGTTGATGGAAAGGGAACTTGAAGTACGAAACCTGGTATCTGCACTACAGCTACCCTGGGTATCTATATCTGGCAAGGTGCCAACTACACCTTACCATTCAGATGATGCAAATGATGCAAATTGCATTTCTTGCATCACCACCCCTCAAAAATCACCTCCAACACAACCTCAAAAAACCTTCCATCCGTCCACCCTCCTCCCCCAGCATGTGCCGAGTTTACGTGTACCTTTTGCGGGCCACCCCCCCCAAACCCCCTAACTACTCACTTCGTTTGCCAAGCACAACTCAGCTGGCGCCTTCTACGAAGGCTGGCTTTCGTAACTGTTTCTGCGGAATGTGTGTACCAACTCCAGCTTCATGCTCAGCTCGTTGCACGGGGGCGCTTGTCTGCACGAGGATCCTCGCCTGTCTCCTTGGGCGGAGGGAAATAAACCAAACAACAAATATATAGATATCCATATATATATATTAAAAAGAGATAGAAATAAATACATCAATAAGCACGGATAAATACGGTATATCATTCAGCAAGTCGTGCTTTGGCATTGTCTAGTATCCGCTGTCAGCAATCGCCCTTTTGTTGAAATGCATTGGGCATGCAGGTCGCAGAAAAGGCCGCCGAAAATCATGAGTTATATACAATGGGTAATGGCCATGAGTCATGAGAGTTTCATTTGTACATCAATTCCAGACTGTAGCCATCGCTATTAGGTGGAGGCCATCGCTATTAGATGAATAGTCCAAGAGCTTGGCATCGTGGCATTGCGCAAGCAATCGATCAACGAGAGCCATTCAGGCTCCCTTGCAGCTCGCGTCAAACTGAGAGCAAAAATCACCTTGCTGCTCACCATGATTTGCGGAAGCCTTGCAGAGGTGTCATTGACAAACAAGTTCTACGACACTCACAGTATGACTCTGCAAGCACGACCGCAAACAAACAAAATGCCGGCCTTCGTGCAGCGCTCAATGTTGGCCAGGTGAACTGCCGACGGCTGCATTACGCATCCTTGACGAAGATTTTTCCAGGTGTCAACGGGCTGTGGTCTTTGCAAAGCCGCCATAAGAGCTTTTGCATCTTTGCCAGCCAGACTTATGGGAGTCTTCCCATACCAATCGATGGCATTGCAATCAGCACCCGCTGCAATCAGCAGTTCAACACATTCTCGGGAATTCTTCCATGCTGCCACATGCAGCGGAGTCCAACCATCTAAGCCTGGGTGGGACACATCAGGGTCAGCTTTGGCCTCCAGGAGAAGTGCTGTACATTCGACATCTTTCTTGTCACAAGCCCTGTGTAAAGGAGTGTAAAGATCCACATCCACCTTGTTGACATCGGCACGTTGATCCAGCAATCGCCTCACCCTTTCAATCTGACCTTCCCGAGCAGCCGAATGCAAATGCGTTTCCAGGGCAAAACCTTCTCCTTTTCTCATCATGGTGTGCGAAGGGTCAAAAACTGAAAGTGAGGTGGAACACGGTCTTATTTTTCCAAGGTTTCTTGCAGTTTCATATTAATTGTCTGAATTGGTATGCCTGCAGCCTCTACTTGGCTTGAGCATGGTCTTGGTCAGAAGGGAGCAATCGTCGCAATCTCAACTGCATTTGTCTCTCGCTCAAAGCTGGAGAACCAGGCTCCCAACCTCTGCAGCCTGCCTCTCATCCATTTCTCGCTGCTTTACACAAAAGACAGCGCCAGCTTCCTCCACCCAAGCCTTCCAGCCTTAGCAATGATTGGGCTTGGGCTTTTCTTCTCCATGTGTTCTTCTATGGTTTGACAACGAGGTTTCAGTATTGTAGTTGTTTTGTTTGCGCAGCTAAGGACATTTCGCAAAGCAGTTGGTCGTTCTAGTTGCGAGCCACCACCCTCATTCTCCAAACGATCTGCCAGCGCTGACATCACCTGCGGTGGTTTCCGAGAACTCAATGAACAACAATGGGGCTGCGGCTTTATCATTATACTTGGCTTACGCGGGCTGGCTTGCATCCAGGTCATCAAGGCAAGATGGGCAAGTGATCCTCATATCATACATTCCAATCAGCTTATTTAGTCTGACTTGCTCTCTTTGGTGCTTTGATCTTCTTTGAACCGCACTCCAGCCTCGTCAAAGTCTGACCGACGCAAGCCTTCGTAGCGGTAGGCAAAGGATGTGAGGCCGAGCCTCAGCTGCTTTAATGGCTTTACATTGGCCATGCAGGTATCCATTGTTCTGAATGTAGATGGAGTGATGGACCAATTTTGAATGAATGTATGAATGGATGAACGAAAGCATCATACAATATATGGGAGGATGGAGGAAGAAAGGAAGGAAATGGATGGATAATGTCTGCGAATCAGTCCTGGATAAGTTTCTAGTTGTTGCTCTGTTCATACACGTGCTTAATATTATATACAATCTTGCCAGGGGCTTTTCTAACACTGGACAGCATCGAAAGTAGATATGGAGGGTGCACAAACACGCGAAGGCATGCAGGCGGACTGCTCCTAAGCATGATATGGGTTCCAAATGTACAAAGTTCCGCTAACAGCGTATCTTGCTTGAGCCCTGGAGCCCCTTGGTTCCTGACACAATGTCAGGATGGGCAAACTCAGAGCTCTGCGACGGAACGTCTTTGCCTTGATGCAGAACCATTGCAGCTACAAGCAGTTGATGCCTTCATGTTCTAACATCGAAAAGAATCAAGGTCAAAATTCAGAATCTAGAAACAACATAAGCTGGAAGATACTAGAATCTAGAAGAGCTTTTGCAAAGTGGTTTTCTCAAGAGCTGCGCGTACTTCGTCTGGACAGTCCGAGAGTAGCACCCACAAAGGGAATCGCCAGCTTGGATCTGGTAAGTGGCATCAGGGGTTGCTCTGCCAAAGCATGCCTGACCTGTGGTTCCACATCATCGATCGAACAAACCATTGGGCCAAAGTATGTCCGGTCCGAGACTGGCACTTGCTCATCAGTCATGATGCCGAACGTGACCCTATCGATCTTTTGCAGACCTTCACCAGGCTGCAGTGGCAGTCTTTGGCCGTGAAGGTGCCCTTTCAAAACTATTGAAACTTCAGTGTGCGTGGACCAACTACCTCCTTGCAAACCTATGATGCTTGATCGATTCTTTGGGTCTGTTCGGAAGCCCGGGCATCCAACAATGTGGAAGGAAAGTTGCAAGCCTGAGAGAGGCAAAAGCATTAAATTGAAAGATTCTTTGAGTCTGCTAGCAATCACTCGGATATGCCGTCCACTCTGATAGACTTGCTTCACACCAATCACATCGTCTGCTTCCCTGACAACTCCGCAACTGAGCTGCTAACCATTCACCACCCAGGTTGAGTGTCTGGATATCTTTGGTCGGAAGCCTGTCCACACCTTGAGGTCTGGCAGGGTATGGTCCAAACGGCTACAAAATTAAGCATGCACATATATTCCAGATGCTTCAACCTTCTTTGGCGCGCTTTGAGGATGAATTCTGGTAATTCTTGAAGGTATGGCTGTGTTCTTGGCTACTCTGTGCATAGTCAGCCGGACTGCTGCCAATGAATTGAAATTGGAATGGCAATGCGTAGATTGGATTGGAGAACACCGACAGGCAAAGAGAGCCTGGAAAACAATTCCGGCATTGTCAAGGTTACCCTCTCGTAGTACCATGTTTCCCTGTCTGTTTTGACAAAGCAACCCAAAGGAATCCGCAGAAGGATGGCTAGAGTTGTTTCAGAGACAGACACAAACCGACAGCATATTAGGGCAAAAGGCCTCCTTGCACACGGACGCTTTATGACGTGTCCCATTGGTGTTTTGCTGCAATTCGTGTCCCAAAGAATCCAGTTGAGGTCCTTGCGCTCCAGGCGCTTCTGCAGGGCCGCTGGCGTCTCACGGAATCTCAGCGTCTTGCTGCCGTCGCTGCTACTCACAAATGACACCTCGAGAAGAATAATGGAAGCGACTGGAAGCGACACAAGCTGAAATTGAGCAGGAAAAAGGAAAGACTGTCCACTTAGTGTCCTGTTGTGTTCTGTGTGCTTACCTTTCTTGTTTGGTTCTGTGTTCTTGCAAATGCTGCAAAGCTGTTCATGCATAGCCGTGTGATGTACAAATTTAAAGCATCAGGATGCAAATGTTGAAAAGTCCTGGTGCAGTACTAAACAAGACAAGAGCAGAAAAAGAGTTCCAACCCTTCCGATCAAGCATGCACACGCTTCACAAACTGAGGTCCTTGTACTCAGATGGCAAAGCAATGCCCCGCTGGTTGTCAGCAACCTAAGCACAATATGTTTTGAACAGAAAAGAAAGTATGGCCAAAGGAACCAAATTGAAACAAAGAAACCGAGCCAAACTGGTCCAAATGCTACATGTCCCTTAGCAAACCTTAGCTCCTTTAGAACAATGTTCTGTCTGTTTGGCCAGCATGATCAAAAGTGGAGACAGGAAGCGCCTGAAGTACGGTTATGAGCACGGATTGTGATAACCTGGTACCCATGTACCCCTGGACTTCCTGCCCATGTAATAATATCATGTCTCTCATTTGCGTCACTTCTATGTTGTCCGGCCATGGAAGCAAAAGCTAGATGCAGAAGAAATGAGTGTCAGACAATATGTGGATTAAAGTCGCCTTCCGCAGTCCCACTTCCAGCCGCAAGCAAGTCCTTTAAGCTCTGTCAGGGAGCCAGAAGAGCTTGTGTTTGCTAATCAAGAAACTTTACTTTCAGACACTTCAGGGTCCTGCAGCCACTTGGTTTCGGACGCCTCAGAAGAGATTGCATAGATGTTCTCAAACAAATTGGAACACTGTGCTCACAGGGCCACAATGTGTACGATCTCGCCACCCAAAACTGTCAAGTGAACACTGTCTCACCGTGGCTCCTTGTCTGCAAGTCTCTTCTCGGGTATCGTGAAAATGCATGGATTTTGTGCCAATTAGGTCCGTTGACCATGGCCTTCAGCATCCCAAAATGCAAGATAATGATTGGTTCAATGGAATGGTTAGAATCACATTGTGAACACATACTTCTGGACTCTACATTTAATACATCGCTTCATATTCCTTCAAAATGGGTTTCGCTCAGGTCCTTCATTCCATCGTCGCGGAGTACAAAGTTTGTTCATGATTACTGAATCAGGCTTTTCCTATACAAGGCCAGCTGGATGTTCCCTGTTTTCGCATCTATCCTTAAAGGGCAAGTTTTGAGTCTCTGTTTCTCACTGTCTGGTTTTTGCAGCAATGTCCAGGGTTTGGCACCGGAGCATTTCATGACATACCATCTTATTCCAGATACATTTCTTTTGTTCAGAGCGGCTTATAAGTGAGGCGGATGCTTCTTTGTTCAACAGATTTCACCATGTTTTGTAGACTAATTAGTCAATTTGGTGGCATGTGTGCGGATCGTACATCCTCCTAGATTGGATGTTTGAGAATTGATACATAGCGCATCAGTCTTGAAACAAAGCACTGTCGAGGTGTGCTCAGCGACACGCAAATGAAAGGAAGAAAGGAAGAAAAGTAAAGTGAAGTCAATGCAAATACAAAGAAGAATGCTGTAACTTAGACAGTGAACTGGAAAGTAGGCAAAGCAGAAGCCCACATTGGAGCCAAGCTCCCCACCCATTGGCTCCATTCCTCCAAGCGTCCAGTCATTTTGACGTCGACAGGATTGGTGCGTGTCATCCTTGCACAACGCATCTGTGTCTGTGGCATTTGCCGATCCGACTCTCGGGGACATCGATCCTTTTTGAAGCTATATACTAGGAGCAAAGGGCATCGCTACTAGGAGCAAGGACGCTATTAGTAGCTCCTGGCCTTACTACTAGGAACAAGAAGCTACTAGGAGTTTTCTTTTAGCCCGCTCCCCCGGGTTACCCCCCCCTCCCTACTTGATTGAGAGAAATTGGTTTGCTCCCAGTAACTGGATGCAGGCTAGCTAACGCTTCTTCAAGGAAGCTCCCCACACCTGAGGGGGAGGTTCTTTGAAGAAGTGCTCGCACTAATGATTTGGTGTCTAGATTCTTAGGGAAACTTAACTTCATGTTGACCAAAACTAAGCAACACAGCACGGAGGGCAGTTCGGCCTGTTGCATGTGTTCAGCCCATGTACAGTAATGTAAAGTCTGAGTGCCTTCTAGCACTCGTAGCTTCAGTGGAAAAAGTAGTGTCCAAACTAGCTACTTTGGATCTGGCAGCCCAGAATAGTTGTAGGCACTTGCAAATGATTCGGAGACAAGAGGATGTAGGAGGCTGGTTTGAGCCCGAAGCCCAAATCATTTTTGCTCTGAGTCTTGGACAAATAAGCAGTGATCTCTTCCTCTGAAAGTCCACGGTCGCTAGGGCTGAAACCCTCCTCGAAGACGCGACCTGGCGGATGACTGTGCAGCTGAAAAGGCCGAAAAGGTTCACATACAAATGGGTTGTGTGTTCCATCAGTACATGTCACTGAGGAATGCGCCGACATGCTCGATGGTCAACCACAGACCTGTTGCAATAGTCCACCCAGAATCGCACTTGCGATTTTTGTCCAAAGCATTAGTAATTGCAAGAAAGCTCAATGAAGCACAACCCTTCTGACGAAAAGACTTTCTGAGACTATGACACATCCATTGGCACAAAATTGGCTTCATCTCAATATGGAAAAAGTCATCAGAAAGAAGAACCTGAGCCATCGAGCCTTTAAACAAAACCCAGGCTTGCCATGGCTTGCCAAACTCACAAGTTTGCACAAATTGAGCCCACTGCCAAGTGGGGATTCTTTTGCAACTGCTTGCGTTCCGTCCCACAGCGAACGACCTGCGCTCACAACAGAAAATGTGCCAAGGGCTCCGCTAGAAGAGTTTGAGGTTTGACCAGTGTTAGATATACTTCAAAACTGCACCTCAGAGAGTGTCTGTAGAATTTGCCGTGCAGCATGAGATTCCTTGAGCTGCGCCTTGGCAGCTTTCCATGTTCTGCTGCACCGTCAAAGAAAAACAGAGACAGAGCTAGGGATCCTCAAATTTTGAGAAGTCAACAGCGTTGTCGTTCGCACAGTCAGGTGGCATTGTCTTTAAGAGCACAGCCGGCGTTCGAGCAGCATCTTCTGCAGCAAAGAATCCGTCAAGTACATGAAGTGGCAAGCCTCACGCATCTTCACTGATGATGTAAATGTGTGCCTGTCAAGAGAGAAAAAGGCAACCTACCCATATGTGTCTGAGGCGTTCTCGCCATCGCTCCGGGGCATGATGGATCAGACCTGAACTGCTCAATTGACTCAATGTCGCCCAAAAATCCGGGAACAGGTTCAACCGCGCGAAGGGTCCTCTATGTTCTATATACTTGCTGCTACTAGCTGCGTCCTTGCTACTAGCTATTGCATGCTATTGCTTAGCTGCTACTAGGTGCTACGTGCTATGTCTAATCCTGGCTGTCTTACCTACCCCACTTCACGCCCTAGCCGGCCAAAAATACAAAATGACTCAAAATATTAGATATACAGCAGCACCAATTTATTCACAGTTGAGTCCAGCCCTCAAACCTGATCTGAGAAGGCAGCTCTTTGGTCCGGTCGGAAAGTTCAGCTCGGACTTGAGTGGATGCCTCAAAGTCAACACTTCTGGATATTGTATGACGATCTTCACACCAGGGGAAGTACAGGATCAAGTCAACCTCGTCAAGCATGCAAACCTGCCATGTATGAAAATCAAAATCTTCAAAGCTCACAATTCCTTCAATTTCCAGCAAAAACAGAATACACGATATAGAAGGTGCAAAAAGCGCTGGGAACAAGCTAGACTTGGCTATCTCCAGCCCCGCTTTGCCGCTCTCGTTGGTTGCATGCTCAACTCTTCAAATGGTTCTGGTTCGATAGAGTAGCTGACACCAAGCTGCCATGTGGGAGGCTGAGCCAAGCTAGCTCATGTCAGGCCTATTTTGCGTATTTACCCAATCTATCCATGTACAGTGCGTCTTGCCATTCTTTCTCATCATCACTAGTCCGCAAATATTTGTCATTCCCGGAAAGAAATGAGCCAGACTCGCACTCTGCTTGCGCAACATCTGCAGCACTTTGCCCATCTCTAGAGTCTCCCTGCGAAGCCTTGAACGTTCAGACCCCTCCCAAAATGCATAAAATGCCTAATCAGTTCTCTTTAAGTAATGTCTCCAGGGAGCTGTGGGGTGTTCTTCTTCGATCTCCTGCAACTTGGTGCGTGCACTGAGGAGGCTCTCAGAAACTACCAATGCACAACAAAGGTGTGCCAAAATATGAGCTGCTCAGCCTGTCGCTGGATACTTCAAGCTGCTCCAAGAATCTCAGCAAAAGAGACTTCACCTCAGCATCTACAACAACTGTTTGCAAAGAATTCTTGAAGGCAATCAAGGGTGCCTTATTTAAAATCTGTACATTTAAGACTTCTACAGTATATAACGAGACACGAGCCCTTTTTGTCTGCAGGTGCTTTTTAAAGGCACACTGTTGTGGTCACGGTCTGAGGAGTTGGCATCTCCAGGTGTTGTCACAATGAGATCGCCTTGCTGTCGCACCTTGACCCGATCCCAGAGATCAGCCCAATTCGGCTGTTTCGGAGAATGAAAGCCAAAAAGTTAAAGGACCGGATAACCCCACATATGAATCTTTACGAATCTGAAGGTTCTAAAGCACAAAGCAGTCAGAGGCTCAATAGCTTCTACAACACGGCCTTGTCAGGAAGTGATATCAGCTTCCGACAACAGAGGGGTGGGAGAGAAGGTGTAAGAGAGTGATGTGCACGACGGATGTACGAGGTATTGCGCACACAGGTGTGCGCAGCCACAACTAGCCAAAGTAAAATCCCATCGCTCTGCCGACGCAAAACCCCATAGTCAAACTCTTTTTCATCGCGCAAATGAAATCAGGTCGTGTTCGTGAACCTGGGCGATGGCATGAGCACTACATTCAAAAGACATCATTCTAGGAACAAAATGGGCTGTAAAAGTGAAGACCAAAGACTTTGGATAACTTCGTTTGTCACTGTCAGCACATCATTCGCGCCTTGGAAAGACAGGAGAACTTCATGTACTGCCGTACCTGCACATGGCCGATCTTCGATAAAAGCAAAGCAGCACTCCACATAGAAACAGTGAAGTGTAGGAAAGCAGACACTTTTTGTTTCTAGGTTTTGACATTGAAAGCACACCGAAACTCCTTTTCTTCATCGCGCAGACGAAAGGGTTAGTATCTGCAAGAGGATGGCATCTGCTCTGCAAAGCTTTCCAAGTGGGATCGTATCTGCAAGAACATGCTCTATACTCTCTGGCCCTGCTGACCAATGTGACGAAGGGCCACGAGCAGTGGACGAAGAAAGGACAATTGCCCTGGATTTGATGAATGGGATCCACCGCATTCCAATGCACAAGATTGTGTTCTTGCAGACCAGCGTCTCTGCCAAATTTAGAGATGGATCCAGTCTTGAGGAGTGCGTGTGTCAATGCTGAACCTCGTGACAAGAGTGTCCTCATGCAAGTCGCTATGATCTTCAGTAAGAAAACGCCGTCATGGGATCGTAAGATGCAGGTGCGAAGTGGCATCTGGCCTGCAATGCTTTCCAAATGGGATCGTGTCTGCAAGAGGATGCTATGCTCTCATCTGCGTCACAGGTGCGAAGTGGCATCTGTCCTGCAATGCTTTCCAAATGGGATTGTATCTGCAAGAAGATGCTACGCGCATGTGCGTCACAGATCTGTAACAAGAAGTAGGTGCGAAGTGGCATCTGCCCTGCAGTGCTTTCCAAATGGGATCGTATCTGCAAGAACATGCTATGCGCTTCTGCGTCGCGGGGCTTCGGCGCGAAGTGGCATCTGCCTTGCAGTACTTGGCAGTACTTCGAAGGTCGGCAGTCTGGCTCAACTCCTCCGCACCGACCGCACGACCTACAGGCCGCGCAGGCCTGGCAGCTCCCAAGTACAGCGCTTGCCTCACAGCGCTAACGCCCAGAAAGGTCCACGCGCTCAGCGCCACTCTATGCTCTTGGATCAACGAGTGAAAGTATCGCTGCACCCACGTGGTCGGCTTGTCATTGAAGAGTCTTTTCGTTGCCCTTTTCCACGGTACCGTCAATGTGCTCGTGGATCATTACTGCAGGAAGACGCTCATGTGCGCCCCACACGAACATCCCATTGCTCGCGTAGACGCAGAGCGCCATCTCGGCATCGTTCTGCTCTCTTTTGGAATTCTGCCACGCGAGCGACAATGGACTCAGGAGGGCCCCGCTCCAAAATCTCGCGAGGAGGTGGGCGCAAAAGAAGTAGATCATCGAGAGATGTGACTCTGGAGAACATGACATACAAGTGGAGCCACCAATTGTCGTCATCTAACTCGGGCAAGCGCGCACAATCAACGATCGTGCCTGTGCGCAGGGTCAAGCCTTGCGAAGCAGTGCTGGTCAAACACTGGGCGTGTGTCACTTGAAAACCACAACGGCGAACTTCGTGCTTCTGCGTGCTGGAAAAGAGAACTTTCACTTCAACTGCGGGTAAGAACCAAAAACTTTTCGCCAGCTTGCAAGCCTCTTCATCTGTCTGAACATGCTTACGACACATCTCTTGAAGTTCTTCCCAATCCGGACAGCCTGAATAGCCTTTTACAGAGACCCGCAAACCGGAAGGTAGAAAGCGAGGATAAAACATTTCACCAGGGGCGGTTTGGCGGTAAGCTTCTCTGTCAAGACTGTGAAACTAAAAATCTATGATCTTAGCCTGGGTATCTTGGACCATACCTGCATCACCATCGAGCTTTGCTAGAAGTTGTATGAGAAACCTTCTCACTTGGTTCTTGCAATGATGACAGCTTTGCGTACTGATCGACAAATGAACGAAGACCAGACTTTATTCATGTTGCGTTTTGCTGATGTTTTGGACAAGGTCTATGACGAGGAGCAGCGCAAGCCGCCAGAAAACAGAGGCGTTTATCATATACTGTTACTCGGTCAGGGTGGTTCTGGGAAGACGCATATTGTGCAGAATTTGATCTTCCCCATTGTGCATTTCATTTGGCCAGCAGAAGGAGAAGAAGACAGTATGATGGTTGTAGCCGCCAAAAAATGCACAAGCAAAGAACATTTCGACTGATCAGGTCGCTGCCAAGACGCTGCATGCTGCCAGTTGCATGCGTGTACAAAGTCTTTCAATCGGCAACATGACTGCAGGAACTGCCGAGAAACGTTTGAAGACTTTGTGGAACAGCATCCGAGTCTTGATCATCGAGGAGATCAGCATGGTTTCGGCTATGATGTACAACATGCTAGACTTTGGAGCTATGTTGGGTCGTCGTGTGGCTTGGCATGTCGATCCCCATACATACTCCAAAGTCGGCTGTGCTTTTGGTCGCGTTCCTACTTTCAGCTTCGGCCTACCGCACAGTTGTCTTTGCTGGGTGACTTGGATGCAAAGAATGCCGATGGCGAGCTCAAGTACGAGGCAGTGGCGCCTGAAGTACAGCACGCGCAAGAAGTGTTTGCAAACATCCCCGATGTTTTCGAGCTGCGAGGGACCATGAGGTTCAAGTCTGGCGATCCTTTGATCGACCTACTGCAGTGCATGCGACAGGGGAAGAAGTTGCCAACGCCTCTTTGGCGGAAATTCCAAGGCCGTTATGCAAAAGACGCCGAGCCTGGTGTCCCAGACCCTCGCTTTTTTGAAGACAAGTTTCGCTACGGATTTTGCATGTCCATCTATTGGAGTTCTTTGGCGCGCGTGTTGTCGCATCGCGCTGTTCTCGATGCTAAAGAGTTACAGGTTCCGTTGGTCATGCTGCAAGCTGCCGATGAATGTTGTGACCTCAAACAAGACGCAGCTTTTCGCTTTCTGAATATGACTAATCCCAACAAGACAGGACACATGCACGGCATGTTTCCTTGTCATATCTTGAAACCGCACACAATCTGCCGGCAGTCGAGGCAAAATCTTTCGCACAAAGGCAGCAGCCACGTCTTCTCTCTTGGTCTCTTCCTCTGTCGTCTTCGGGTCATCTTGCTTGCCTTGCGAGGCACGAATCCCACCGAGTAGATCAGCCCGCTGATCCTCAGTCAATGTCCCGCACAAACACTTACACGAAAAACATGCATTTCGGACACAAGCTTTGAGACATTGAAACTGAGAAATTCCCCGAAAAGAAAAAGAACAAAGAAAAGAAAAAGAACAAAGAAGAAAAGACAATATTATACAGACCAAGTTCGCTGCTCAAATTGCCAACCTCCTGACACATGGGTAGGAGTGGTACTCGATCGCACGCAGGGGAAGATGCAAGCTCTGAACCAAGAACATCTCTCTTCATCCAGCTCTCTTTCAAAAATTCTTTGGTATACTGATTTTTGCGACCTTGGAACTCAAAGAACAAAAGCTTCTTCAACTCTTCCGTAGAAGCACGATAGGTGATCGGCTGAAAGACTTCCGCGCAAGTCTGGGCAGCACCACGCATGTCATCATCGTGACTAACATGTTCAGCGTCCACTTCACCATCTTCTCCCTCGCCGAGACATCGGATTCGCTGAACAAATTCTTCCTGCAAATAGGCATCAGTATCCCGGCGTTTCTTGGGGCGAGTCTGGCGAGCACGGGCAAGGCCTTCCAAATTGGCGATGCGCCTCTCCGCAAGCAAAGACGAATACATAGTGACGGTAGCTCAAGGGGGTCACCAGTGCCCCCCTCTTCGAGCTGCAAGGCGTTGGCCTGGCGAAGCTTTTCTTCCAAAAGTTCTCTCACTTCCAAAGTTTCCCAGAGCGAAGGGTACTCGCAACGACAAGCAAAACGTCTACGGCCTTCTGTGGCCTGAACTTCCATGTCGTGTACCCACTCCAAATAGGCCGTGGTGAAAGCCGTTGCCGCAACATGTGAAGGATCACCCACCGGTGTCCGCTTGGGCCTGCAGAAGTCGCCGAGGGCGTCCAGGACCAACTCCTCGTCAGCGAGAGGAACGTCACGTACAGCAACTGGCCTGCGCTGCAGTTGCTTGTACATGGCGTTCCTCTCGCTGTCGACCGTCAAGGGCGGCATGCTAAACCTTCAAACATTGGAACGCGCGGCTCCGTACTCAGTCGCTGGACATGTGATCCATACAGCTTGTAAGAAGAGGCAAAATAGAAATCCACGTGTCGTGGAACAGCGGCACGAACAGAGACTTCAGGACGAGGTGGCAGTTCGACTCGATACACCCAGGTACCATAGGTTGCCGGCGAGAGGAACGTCACGTACAGCAACGGAGCCAGATCTACTGCGATTCACAATGGGACAGCGTCGCCGGC